AATCTATCGCTAACTCGAACCAAAACCTTCATACATTTACCGAACACCTCTGCAAAAGCTTGCACTGTGGCGATCTGAATAGTCTTGTATTTCGAAATGAGGCGAATTTATGATCGGTGACCCTAGCTTACCTCTTGAGGTCTGAGATGCAAGAGATGCAGTAAACATGGCCACAACCCGTCTGGACAGGATCTTTGAGGATGTTTCGGCACAGCAAACACAAATAGCGTGATTCAACTGTGCCGTCCTCAGACAACGTATAACCCGGCATTCAGGAGATATCAGTGATATATCCTTGACTGGTGTAGATGGCTCCCTTAAAAAAGAAATGGATCAGAAAATTTGACATCAGCCAGCAAGTGAGGTGTTTCAAAGATAGAAGGAATTCAGGTGTCACTCTGCACTCCTGAATGAAGATATTCCACCCCGCACATATCTTACAATGCAAGAAAGCTTTTATGCAAACTTCAAAGTTGTCCTGCTCTAACATGAAAACTAGATAAAAGAGAATCTTTTGGTACTCATTCTTAGCTTCAGTACATGAATATCGCACCTCGATATAACCGCCTCCCAGTTACCTCATCAGAGCGCCGTGCGGGAGGGCGAGGGTTAGAGCCCCGGCGGACTAAACACTCAAGGTCTTAAAATAACTGAGGAGAATGAGCTACCTTTCTGTATCAAGAATTGAATAGACATTCTAGTCTTCTAAGATGAGGACGAATAAACCGTAGGTCCCGTCTCTATTAATGCATCTATTAATTAGTTAATTTGGTTGGGCAGGGGAAGTTAAAGAACCCACCCACGAGATTACTGTGATATGGTCTGGCATCTTTACTGGGAATTGGAGGGGAGGGGGCATCTTCAAATAGGTTTCCTTCGATTGATTGTAAACTGCCGATGCAGTCCGGCCAAAGTCCCCCGAAACGTGTTGCTATGCGCATTTGATCAAATCCAAATGTTAACTTGGGCAATATAAATATTAAATTATTATTATTATTATTATTATTATTATTGTTATTATTATTATTATTATTAGAAGCATGATTCAAAAAGATACTTATATGGAAGACCAGCTTGATATTAAACACCAGTTGGTTACAGAGGTGACGGTATTATACAAACGAAAGTGAAAGTTAGTAATTTAACAACTAGTAATTTAAAACCTTCTTTAGTTGTTCCCCCGATCGCTTTTAACTTTATAGATGTTCCCGTAATATAACAAAGCGATATTCAATCGAACGAAGCGACTTGATGTAGGAAAACCTGACTGGGTTAACTATAATGATCTCCAAAACAAATTCAGTGTGCAAGTAGAACACTATGAGCGCTTTAGATGTGGGATTTACAATGTAGTCGATAAACCTAATTTATAAATGCAAAAGTTTTTCTTGTACTCTCTCTGCTTCTGGTAACACATGCACAAAATGACTTCACTTACATATATAGCGGGCTGGAGAATCAGAGAATTCCATCTCTGCATAACGAAGAGGGCGTCAAATAACAAATAAAACTGCATTAAATATTCCTGACAGGTTTGTCTCGATTTAGATCGTATTGTGTGATTAGTCTGTCAGCAGTCAATATATAAAATATTGACTATAATATTGACTATTGATTGTAATATATAAAAGGGGAATCCCCGAATGTTTATTATGGGAGCTTATGGGAATATCACACAAGGTATCGAAAGCGCCGAAACTGCGACTGATGTGCTTATTTCTTTCCTTTATTTTAAACTATATACCGTAGTAGGCTATAATTGAATTTAGGGCAAATATTTGACTTGAACAAATTCCGGATGGAAAGAGTACCGTAACTTTTTAGACCTGAGAAGAAGGAAACGCGCCAAAGCAAGATATTGTCGCACACTCGGAATGGCAATATAATAGATTTCGCTTCGAGATAGAATAAATATCTGAAAATCATATATTTTGAACTGCGGTATTTGATACGTATGATGCACGATCCTCGCAGTAGATAGCGCTATTTAAGCAATAGCGAAAATCAGACCTGAAAAAAATCAGGCCTGTACAGGACTCGAACCACCATTAATTGTATTCTCTTTGTCTATCG